ACACAGAGTCACTGTGCCAAAAAGAACTGGTCGGTCTTCATCCATTTCAGGAGGAGGCATATGATCAAGAACCAATGGTATTGAAGAAAGAAGTCAAAGCTGCACTGAAGGAATTGGCAAAGAACAAGCCTTCAGGAATTGACGAAATACCCTTTGAGATGTTTCAACAAACAGATGCTGCACTGGAGGCACTCACTCGGCTATGCCAAGAGATCAGGAAGACCGCTACCTGGCCAACTGAGTGGAAAAGATCCACATTTGTACCCATTCCAAAGAAAGGTCATTCCACAGAATGTGGAAATTATCAAAAAATATCCTTAATATCACACATAAGTAAAATCATGCTGAAGATAATTCAAAAATGGTTGCAGCAATACACTGACACAGAACTTCCAGAAATGCAAGCTGGATTCAGAAGAGGACATGGAATGAGGGCTATCATTGCTGATGTCAGATGGATCTTGGCTTAAAGCAAAGAATGCCAGAAAGACGTTTACTTGTGCTTTATTTATTGACTGTGCAAAAGCATTTGATTGTGTGGATCATAACACATTATGGATAAAACTGAGAACGGGAATTCCAGAACACTTAATTGTGATCATGAGGAACCTGTACATAGACCAGGAGGCTATCGTTTGAACAGAACAAAGGAATATTGCACGGTTTAAAATCAGGAAGGGAGTGTGTCAGGGTTGTATCCTTTCACCATACTTATTCAATCTGTATGCTGAACAAATATTCTGAAAAGTTGGACTATATGAAGACGAACATGGCATCAGGATTGGAAGAAGACTCATTAATAACCTGGGATATGCAGATGACACAACTTTGCCCTCCGAAGGGGAGGATGACTTGAAGCACTTACTGATGAAGACTGAAGACTACAGTCTGCAGTATGGATTATACTTCAGTAGAAAGAAAACAAAAATCCTCACAACTGGACCAATAAACAGCATCACGATAAATGGAGAAAAGGCTGAAGTTGTCAAAGATTTCTTATTAGTGGGTTCCACAATCAACACCAATGGAAGCAGCAGTCAAGACATGAGATGATATATTGCACTGGGCAAATATGCTTTAAAGTGCTGAAGAACAAAACTGTCTCTTTGAAGACTGAGGTGCACCTGACCCAAGCCACGGTATTTTCAATCACCTCATATTCATGTGAGAGCTGAACAATGAACAAGGAAGACAAAAGAAAAGTTGATGCTTCTGAGTTGTGGTGTTGGAGAAGAATACTGAAAGTATCATGGACTGCCAAAAGAACGAACAAATCTGTCCTGAAAGAAGTGCAGCCAGAATGCTCCTTGGAAGTGAGAATGGCCAGACTTCGTCTTACCTATTTTGTTCATGTTGTCAGAAGGGGCCATTCCCTGGAGAAGGATATCATGCTTGGTAAAGTGGAAGGTCAATGAAAGAGGGAAAGGCTCTCAACAAGATGGATTGACACTGGCTGCAATGATGGGCTTAGGTGTGGCAAGGACTGTGAGGCTGGCACAGGACTCGGGAGTGTTTCATTCTGTTGTATGTGGTGTCACTAGAGTTAAAGCCAACTCAATAGCACCAACAACAACATCACTACCATCTACCCCAAATCTTTCTGTTATCTCCTAATATCTCATTTAAAGGGGGATGAAATATATGGGATTATTTTGGGCCACCCCCAGAGTTCCACACTAATTCAGGCCCAGGTTCTACAGAGAAGGAGAATACAACACTGCTCTGAGAGGCTGTCTTCCCCAACTGCTACTGGAATAAAAAGTATTAATGCATGGGAGCTCTGGTAGCATAGTGGCTAAGGCACTTGACTGCTAACCAGAAGGCTGGCAGTTCAAACCCACCAGCCACTCCTCGGAAGGAAGGTTGGGCAATCCTACTTCCGTAGTGATACTGCCTCGGAAACCCAAGGAGGGCTCACTATGAGTCAGGGCTGACTCAAGGGCACATAACAACAACAACAACAACAATGCTGACATAAGGTGTTAGTTACCATTACAATGCGCTCTCTTACCTGTGGTGTCATTTAACCCTTACAACAATCTGATAAGGAGACATAGGTTATCATCACCAGACTCAAAAGTATTTATGTTTTTCCTATTCAAGGCCATGGGAGCTCTGGTGGCATAGTGCCTAAGGCATCTGACTACTAACCACAAGGCTGGAGGTTCAAACCCAAAAGCCACTCGTGGGAAGGAAGACTGGGTAACCTATTTCCACAGAGACATCACCCCAGAAACCCAAGAAAGGGTAGAAGGAAGTGAGGTTTTTTTTTTTTTGGTTTGTTTTAATTCAAGGTCATACAAGTAATAAAGCTCAAATCCAGGACTTAAGATTCTTAAGTATGTTCTTTTCTTTTCATTATACCTCAATATTTAGCCCTTCATTTTAGGCTGACATTATTCAATTCTTTCTCCAAGTAATGAATAATTGTGAGCACCAGAATTTGTTGGTACTGAAGCTTTTCTGGGTTCACAGACACTTTTTAAAAATGAAATCTATAGAACTACTCAATAGAGAAAACAAGAGTTTTGCATACATTTTCAGAGTCCCTGGTTAAAAACCATATACAAGACTGTAAGTTGAAAGACAGTGGTAATAACTTATGCTCCTTTCATATACTTCACAGTACACAGAGGTCAGCATAAAACAAAGATTAAGGTCAGCATGAAAAAGGATTTAAAAAAGTATCTGAATGGCCATAAACAGATTTAATTTCCCAGATACTGTCATTAAAAAGTTATGGAGAGTCTATTACAATACACATTTTAGTAGTAATAGAAAAAGCCAACGTAGGACAAAAAATTAAAAAGTCATTCATAAAGACGGCACAAAGAAACAATCATTGAGCCTTACTACATGCTAGCAGCTTTACTTGATATCTTTCTTTAGTCTTAAAGCAACCTCTAATGTAGTTTTCAGTCTACATTAAACTATGGTAAACTACAGAAACTATGGTAAAATGATTAATTTGCCCATAATTTCAAAGCAATGGAAAGGTACAGATTTAAATTCAGGTCATTCTAAGATAGAAGAAACCTGGCTTTTTTGTAATCACCCAAATACTTACTTTGATAGATCAGAATGTTAGAATGGAAAACAAAGTAAAGTGAAAAGAAAAGGTGGGTAGGGAATCAAAAACAGGGAAAGCACTACAGTAAATGGAAAGAAGGGTGGGGATACTAAGATAAAAAGCCTAATTAAAATATACCTGATGAGGAATGGGGAAAAACCACCAGACTGTTAAGAACAATTTGATTGTAATTCCAACTCTGTCCCTAATTCACCAGAGAATCTGGGACTAACCACTTAACATTTTTTGAGCCTTAGCTTGCTCATCTATGAAATCACAGGTGTTGGATGGCATAAAAATTTAAATCTCTGAATTCTTTCACAATTTTAAGAACACTGTCACTAGTATTATTTTCATTTTCCTCCAATGAGCAGGAACTTTTATGTTATTTGCTGCTATTTCCCTAGTACCTAGCTGGTACAAAGTAGATAGAAAAACATTAGTTGAATAGATAAATGAATTTGATCCTGGTAAAAAACCCCATGAGGAACACTGAACATACAGGAATCATTATGCCTTTACATATGAGAAAAAACAAGGTTAAAGGTCCCACAGCTAAATGGTAGAGCCAGGATGGAAACTAAAGCCTTTCAATTCACAAGTCCAGAATTCTTTCCAGTTCTAAAATTTGTCATATTATAATATAATCTTAGCAATCAGACACAAAACTAATGAACTCTTATTACCACCCTTTCAAAGAAAATAAAAATCATTAGAATAGCACTGCTACAGAAAGCTGTGATTTATTATTCAGAAGTTTTGTAAAAGAATATGAACACTCAACAATAGCACTGCCTATGAAATAAATGAGATAAAATCCAGTATGTGAGTTTCTTTGAATACATCATTTGTATTTTTTGTGTATTACAAGTCTACATCAGTAATTTTAGTTGGCAACTTTGCAAATGCTTACTGTTAATCATACAAAAGAGTAGCTCCAATTTATCTAAAACCAAGGTTATTGTTCAAACGATAACTTACTGCAGGCCTTACTTACTGCAGGGCTCCCCGATGACTTCTCTAATATAAAGATTTAGGATCAAGTGAGTTATAGCAGAAAAGCACTGACAGGGTAGCATCAGGCTGGAAATACCCATGTTTGCAGAAAAAAAAACACATGGCAACAGCCCTATAGCAAAAACTCTACTCTCCAAGGCCCTAAGAATTCTAAGATGTTACTTTTCAAGAAAGTAAGTAGAGATAGATAGACAGGGAATGGGTAAATACTAACACCTCAGACTTGATAGTGTACTTGTGACCTAATCAGGCAATCTCCTGCCTTAAGGATACAGACTCACTCACTGCCATCAAGTCAGATCCGACTCACAGTGACCCCTGCTTGGGTTTCCGAGGGAGTATCACTATGGAAGTAGACTGCCCAACCTTCCTTCCGCGGAATGGCTGGTGGGTTTGAACCACCAGCCTTCTGGTTAGCAAGTCAAGTGCCTTAGGCACTACTCCACCAGAGCTCCTAGGATATAGACTAGTAGAAAAATATGTGCGTGTGTTGTGTAGCACATTCTTTCAACAACAAAAAAAAAGTTTGAAAACTACAGCAGGGGAAAGTAGTTATACTATCAACTAATTTGCACAGCACATGAATAAAACAGAACACATGAGAAAGAAAGAAAAAAAAGTATAATCAATAAATGGGCAAAAGATACTTTGAAAAGTCACATATTTGATCAAGAGGAAGAAAATAGTACATGACAGCATTTATCAAGATAAACTTTCTCTGAAAATCTCACACCTGCAGTAATTTAAAGGTCTTAAGGGCTCTGTATAATCTGGGTCTTATCCCATGATAATAATCTATTATTCTACTTACCTTTTAATACACAATTCCCCCCACCCATGTAAATATTATTTTCTGTATTGGTACAAACATATATCCAAATTTTTTTCAATAAATACAATGTAGTAATCTTACCTAGTAGCAAATTGAATGAGTGCATTTTGAAGAGTCTGCCTAATTTCAAGAAGAAAAGATTCATCATCACTTAATGTGTAATACCAATACTGGACATAATCTCTCAAGGAAAACTGGATAACCTAAAACAAAAATATTGTGGAAAAAAATACAACTTTTTAGGATTTAAAAGCTAACAGTGGTAAACTAAAAACTAAGGATTACCTGCCAATTTATATTTATTCCTGATGTACTAAATTGTGGTGATAAATAATAACTGCCTTGATTACAAAAGCATCAACACGCTAAAAGCCATTTTCAAAAATGTTTAAATTAATCTGGTATCTCAATTCTTATACTGCTCTAATTTTTTTTTTTTTCATTAACCATTATCCATAGCCAAGCCCAACTCAAATTCAGATTAAGTCAGAACTTGCAGAAAAAATTTATGTCACAATATAATAGTTTTACTTGGTATGATGGAATGAGAGGCAAAATAATGGTAACAGACTCTAATTCTCAAAAAGAAACAGCTTTTCCAAGATTATATCATCAGATCCATTACAGTCTAAAGGTAAAAAATGTCTAAGGAGTTCACAAATTCTATTATACTTTTGATACTGCCAGAAGTATTCAGTCAGTCAATAAATACCAAATAATACAACTCAATGATAATGTCTTTGTAAATCAGATAGATTAAATACAGAATCATCCATAATATAAAGGTTAGAACATACAGTAAACAGTATTTCTAGTGAATCATGTAATTAAATAAACATCAATCAAAAATATTTGAGGAGGGACAATAATTTTCTAACCTAACTTTAGTTTTTTAATATTTTTGGATGAAACCAGGTACCTCCATTTAAAAAAGTAATAAAGCTAGTAGGAAAAAAGCATGTCTGATTTACCAAATCACTAAGCTTGTTCATCAGCTAACAACTAATACTTTAACAATAAATTTAATAGAAAACATTATTAAATGTCAGTTAAAAAACTGTTTTTCTAAATATAAATTCAATTAAAAGATTTTAATATTATGTAAACCACCCCATTATAAATAAGTTCATAAACAAAGCATCACCTTTAAATACAGAATCCAAAGATAGCATTCTAATGGAATTCCAGCATAAATAGCAAAAAAAAAAAAAAAAAGTATTTCTTAGCATTTTCACAGAATTATATCTAACACAATATGGAAATCAAATACCACATACTGAAACTCACTTGCTGGAGAGGTTCATCAATTATGTTGGCACCCGTCAATCTTCTATCGATCTTAATAGTCCTGGCTTCCCGTTTCATTTCTTCTAAGCACTTAAAGGAAACCATAACATTTCACTGTGTAGTTTCTTAATTTAAAATCTCTCTACTTTACTTCTCATCAAATACTCACTGTCATGTCCCTGTCATTATTCTCAGTATTTCTTGAGATTCTAGGATTACCTAAATCCATTTCTCAAGTTTGCAAAACCAGACACCGGGCAGGGAGAGAGGGGAATCTACCCTTATCCTTGAAAATGTAATAAAATCAGCAAACTTTATTTAGGATGTAGGAAAACTGAAAATGTACAGATGTATACTACTGTGTCTCAATAAAATTTTAGAATCTTAAGCTGGTGTTTTCATTGAGTCAAACTGATAGTTGTCTTTATTGAACATTGCTTCTTCTCTCCTGCTCACATGTCCTCTAGACCAAATGAGTTCTACTAGAATCTATTCCTAGAGAGCTCTGGTAGCATAGTGCCTAAGGCATCTGACTGCTAACCAGAAGGCTGGTGGTTCAAACCCACCAGCACTCCTCAGAAGGAAGGTTGGGCAATCTACTTCCGTAGTGACACCGCCTCGGAAACCCAAGGAGAGGTCGCTATGAGTCGGGTCTGACTCAACGGCACAAAACAACAACAACAAGATGATAAAAACTAGATCTGAATTCTTAAATTTATAGATACTGCATAACTTAACTACAAGCTATATTTTTCAGAGTAGTTAAAGAAAAAGTGCCATTTTTCTCCTCTGATTCCTATTTAATGTATTCTATTCCAAACAGAATATTCATCCACATTCTTACAAATAAAATCCAGGATGTTTGGAAATTTTACCTTAAGACAACAAGAAAACCACCAAAATTGAACTAATCAGTTTCTATCCTTTTCCCTAAATCAGCATTCTTGCTTTTTATATCTAATACTGAGAGAATTTTCAAGTTACCTTTACTAACATATTTTCTAAGAGTGATCAGACAGTCTACCATAAATTTATAGTGTGCATTACTTAATGATAGGAAAATCTGTCAAGCCAGATATAGATGATCATATTATTATCATTTTAAAGTAATGGACTGTCCCAGAGGACACCAAGCTCAATTGGCATAACATACTACACAAATCACTGTTCCACCTTCTACTGTGGCTAGTAGCGACTGAGATCTTAAAAGCTTGCAAGCTGCCATCTAGATGCAACGATGGGTCTCTCCTTGTCCAGGGCCAAGAAAAATGAAGAAAACCAAAATTCATGGAAACAATCAGTCCTAGCGACTGGTACACCATCCGATCTGTAGCCTATGTGACTATGAGACCAGAAAAAATGGTTGGTGCTCGGCTACTACTGTCAACCACTTGGAGGAGGATCTTTGTAGGAGATCCTGGATAGACAGGGGGAACAATGTGGAACAAAACTCAAAATCATTTGGGAGAAAAAAAAAAGCGGGGAACAGGTTTACTGGCCCGATGGAGCCTGGTGGAATCACTGAGACTATGGCCCCTAGCTGTCCTTCAGGTCTGGAATTGAACACACACCTGTAGCTTCCAGCCAAGCAGTAGACAGGCATACTAGTTGAGCATTTATCTGAGGTAGATACACTTCTTGGAGAGAACAAGTAAGAGAGAAAGAAGGGCTGCTCAGGCACAGGGAGACAGCTCAGGGGGTAGGAGTGCATGGAGGGATGGTCACAGGGAAGCGGTACCTATCAGGAGGAAGTGGGAGAGAAGATGTTGCATTGTGCTAAATTGTGGTCAATGTCATGAGACAAAGTCTATGTGATCTGCTGTATGAAAAGTGTATTTGCTCTGTAAATTTTCACCCAAATCACAATAAAAATTAAAATTTAAAAAAAATTAAAAACAAAAAAAATAAAGTAATGGACTGTGAGGTTTCACATTCTTTCACATTCTTTACCTTAGGAACCCCAGTTGATGTTGGAGGAAGAAAAGAATGTTCACACTGCTCTAGGTATTTCTCTGAATTTGTTTTTCCAAACAGGAGAATAACCACAAAACCTCTGAAAAAAAAAATTGGGTATAGATATAAAAGAAAACTTTACTACAATTTAACACATTACCAAGCATATTTTTCAAATTTAATATATGGTTTACCGTTTATTAAAAAGTCAGAATGTAATATATGGCAAGGAACTGATTTTGTTCTGAAGTTTAAAACAACTTTAACATTTTATGAATCTGTGAATTTCAAATTTTGATCAACATATTTCCTAAGAATCACAGGCAGTATTTTCATGCTTTATGCAAATCAGCCTTCATTAAATAAGTAGACTAGCTAATAACCAAGAATAAAAACCAATGAGATCTAAATTATAGCTAAATGATAGACTTCTTAAGTCTACTATTTAAGGTGAAATATTAACATTAATAAATACAACTTGCCACTATTGACACAGAATAAACAAAGGTCATACAGAAAAGGAAAGTTATCAAATTTATGATTTATTTAAATAAGCCTGAAATAAGTGTAAATATATGCAAAAAAGGTCAATTTTTTCAAAAACAATTATACATCAAGGTAAGATAAACAATGGTTTACAAATGCTTTACAGAAAAGTACTAATTGTTATCAATATTTTCTGTATTTAAAATTTACCAATAAATCTAAAGCACTGGAAATGTACAAGAAAGAAAGTTAAATTTTAATCTTATGATGGAGTAATCGTACAAATTCAAAGGCTAGTGACAAGAAGGGGAAACAGGAAAAACTCAAATAATGGGCAATCTTAACTACTGAAAAGATTATCAATGTTCTCTGCTTTTTGCTGGCTGCCTGCTATTTGACTTCTCTTCGAAACAGTACCACAAAAGCAGAAGGAGGGGTGAAGAACACAGATAGTCATATCAGTCCACATCATGGATTCTGGGATTTTGTTGGCTTGTTTTTTAAAGCTGGTTTTAATTTCAATGTTATATGAGATTTTACTGTTGCTGTTGTTGTTGTTTGCCGTCAAATCGGCCCCGACTCATAGCGACCCCTCCTTGGGTTTCTGAGGCAGTATCACTACAGAAGTAGGATTGCCCAACCTTCCTTCCGAGGAGTAGCTGGTGGGTTTGAACTGCCAGCCTTCTGGTGAGCAGTCAAGTGCCTTAGGCACTATGCTACCAGAGCTCCTGAGATTCTGAGATTTTACTATTAAGAATTTTATTAGTCTATATTTTAGTTTAACTTGACATTTACATACACAGAAAATGTTTATATTACGTTAACACTGTATTTCTAAAACATCATAATGAAACGGACTGATAAAAGCTTACTGACAGTACTCTAAGGAAAACAGTCTAATCTTACAAAGAACCTAATCAATTCATTCAGTGTTGAGGTGTAAGTTAAAAGAGATGCTACAAAATGTTACATGACACACATGTAACAGAATGCCATGAAATAACCCACAGTATGGTATTAATATCCCCAACCTACCACCAAAATCAAAAAAAGCAGCAGCAAAACAAAAATCTCTGAATGGTTTTCCTTCCAAAAGTTTTTTTTTGTTGTTGTTGTTGTTGTTTAATATTATAAAATACACACAAAATATATACACTGGTGGCATAGTACCTAAGGCATTTGTCTGTTAACCAGAAGGCTGGTGGTTCAAACCCACCTGCCACTCCTCGGAGGGAAGACTGGGCAATCTACTTCTGCAGTGATAACCCATTGCCGTCTAATCGGATCCGACTCACAGCAACCTCTCCTTGGGTTTCAGAGGCAGTTTCACTAGGGAAGTAGATTATCTAACCTACCACCTCAGAAACCCAAGGAGGGGTCGCTATGAGTCAGATTCGACACGACGGCAGTGAGTTTTAGTGATTATTGACATAGTAGGTGGATAAACGCCAAAACTTGACAGTTTTATCAGGGGAATAAAAAGAGATGATTTCCATAGGAAAATGCATTTAAAAAAAAAACTCACTCCCATCAAGTCAGAGCCAACTTGTAGCAACCTGTTCTTGGGTTTCCGAGGTGGCATCACTACGAAAATAGATTGTCCAATCTTCCCTCTGAGAATGGTAGGTGGGTTTGAACTGCCAGCCTTCAGGTTGGCAGTCAAATACCTTAGGTACCACCCATCACAGGCCATTCTTGCCAAGAACTTGTTTAATTAGTGAAACTAGAAGAAAGCTCTCCCTTTCAAAGAAGCATCTCTTTGGGACAAATGATCTCAATCAGCAAAAGCTGTCTTGACTTTGTGGGGGGACATACAGCACTATAGCTCCAAACTTTGCAGGCATGTAGTTTCAGTCTTAAAATGTGTGACTTAGAATTATAATTAGATAGCCAGTAAGTTGCAGATCTATGATAAGGTCTTCAATAATCTTTATCATCATTAAAGATATTTTGAACTCCATGTACCTGACTCCCATGGTTTATTTCTTAACTATTTTAATATGTACTATCATATCTGAGTAACTGTAATAAAAATACTTAACCTAACATAAAATGCAGTTTTATGAAAAGTCTTTGAGGTTACTGCTCAATTAAAGTAACTCTCACTCGTCCAACAATGAGTGCGCTCCCCATAAAACGGCTATACATATACCTATGCCCTGAAAGAGATAATAGGTGGTAGACATATTCAGAAACCACCCCCTTCAGTGTCTTACCTAGTCTTTCAGTCCAGTTTAAATATGCTATTCAATTCAGCTAAGTCCTCTAAAGCCACAGGCTCAAACAACTCCTGCAAATACTTGGGATCTCAAAACACTTTAAAAAGAAAAAAATTCATAGGTGTTTATCCCACAAATAATGAGATAAATTTGGACATCCTAACAACAAAACATAGATTTCAATTAAGCTCGCTTTTACATTTTAAATGCAAGCACCTCTCTTGCCTACGGTGGTGCAGTAAATTACGGCTTTTCTAGCCGTAGTCTTTGTAACTCCCAATTTGTTGTGAGCAACTGAGTACCTGATTGTTAAAAGTTATCCACCTGAGATATTTCTGTTGAAGCAGCATGAAGTAATCTTCTGGAAAGTCACTCTCTCTCAGGTGTATAGAATTCTGATGAGCGGAATCTCTCTCTCTGACCGCCGGCTGAGAGAGACACGCTTGCTGAGAGACACGAGAGACATGGACTGCTGGGAGAGAGATGTGCTACTGAGAGAGACTGAGTGCACTCCTGAATTTGGATTGTAGCCTGTTGCTATCCTAATAAGTAATCTGTGAGTTCTATGTGGACACTGCAGTGAATTATTGAACCCAGCAAAGAGGTGGTGGGTGCCATGGGAGGGACTGTTGGTGTTAAGGTTGGTAAGAAGGCTGGAGGGTGGTGGCATGTCTGGCCTCATAAAAACAGGTCTTGGGCTGCTGAAGGTGATTCTATCTTCCTCTTGTGGAGTTAGAGGTAAAAAGATGCTGTCTTCCTGCGCTTTTAGCAGTTGGTGTCAGAAGCAGTGGCATTCGTGCCAGTGGCTCCAGACTCATAGAAGCATGAGACTTTCTAAAAGAAAAAAGGAAGGAGCCTGGGAAGTGAAACTTTGGATTCTTAGATGGTTACTTTGGTTGGTATTACCTATTAAAGGAGATAACTGATCCAGAGGCTAGGGCTTTTGGTTACACCCAGCCAAAGGCCTAAGGCCATATGCATAGAATGGGAAGATAATCAAGGTAAAGAGATGAAACTGGAATGTCTTAATAAAGATTATATGATTACCTGAATGTACTATGGATACTGAATGTTTGTTCACCTTTGGCCAATACTTGATTGGATATTTTAAAAGGGGAAATAGAATCTGCTCAGAAGAAACACAAGCTTTTGTTTCAAACCCTGTATGTAGAATATAGGGGGTTTAGGTAGAAAACCTGAGCTCCAGGACCCAGAACTTCTTGAGTGAGGAAATCTGCACTTGAAAAGACCAATCCAGAACTACTGAGAGAACAGAAGATTTACATTTGAAGAAAGGACCTGAAGAAGAAGAAAAAAAAAAATGACTGTTTGGCTTTTTGAATTTCAAGCAAGCAGACAGGCATTGGGTGCATTAAGGCAGTAAAGCCAGGGCCTATGACAGAAACCCTTTCCAGGACTGAAGTTAAAGGAAGCCAGCGAGTAGTAGGCTTGTATGCTGCCCGCCTGTGACCACCCAGGTCCACTTGAAGAGTAGAAATGGGAGAAGTGCAGTAATGAAGAAATGGGCTGAGTTTGGTACTCTCTGACCTAGAACAGAGGCTAGGGATGAGAGGAAGGCCTGTGTGGCTAGGGATAAGAGGAAGGGCTGGCTGGTCTGAAGTACAAGGAACTGTGAGCCTACAGGCATTAAAACAGTCCCTGAGAACTGAGGATGAGAGATAGATGGTGCTGGCTGGAACCCATGACCTAGCTGGATAGCTAGGGATGAGCTGACCAGAACCCAACCAAATGAAGATGTAGGATATTGAGCTGACGTTAAGTTGCTGTAATTTGATGTCTTGCACTGGGCTGGACTTTGCTTATTAAGGGATGCAGATACCCTAAGTTCCAAGTAGAAAAGAAGATTCTTGAGAGAGAAAGGAACATGTTTGTGTCCTTAGAGTACTGTTTTAATACAGATGGGCAAATTAGAAATTGGCTATTTAAAATGGGGGGAGATAAGGCTTTTCTTGCCATAGTCTTATAATTCCCACTTTGCCGAGAGGAACTGAGTTCCTGATTGTAAAGTTACCCACCTGGGATATTTCTGTTGAAGCAGCACAAAGTAATCTTCTGAGAAGTTCACTCTCTCAGGTGTGTAGAATTCTGATGTTGGGATTGGTTAGTTTTGCCACTCTGCCAGGCTTAAAATGAACTCTCCTAGAGGCAGAAAGGGTCGCTCTGGTAGTGTAGTGCCTAAGGTACTTGACTGCTAACCAGAGGCTGGCAGTTCAGACCCACCAGCCACTCCTTGGAAGGAAGGTTGGGCAATCTACTTCCACAGTGATAGCGCCTCAGAAACCGCTGAGTCAGGTCCAACTTGACAGCACATAACAACAACAGAGGCAGAGAAGCCACTCCTCGGAAGGAAGGCTGCGCAATCTACTTCCTTAGTGATACTGCCTCGGAAACCCAAGGAGTAGTTAGTTGCTATGAGTCAGATCTGACTCAAGGGCAGTGAGTTTTTTGAGTTGAGAGGCAGAGAGGAATCTCTCTCTGACTGCCAGCTGAGAGAAATGCGCTTGCTGAGAGAGACACACTTGCTGAGAGACACGAGAGATGCAAGAGAGACACACTGCTGAGAGAGAGACGTGCTACTGAGGGACTGAAACGGATTGCTGGCTGAGAGAGACTGAGCATGTTCCTGAATTTGAATTGTAGCCTGTTGCTTCTCTAATAACCCCATAAACTGTGAGTTCTGTGGGGCCATTGCAGCAAATTACTGAACCCAGCAAAGAGGTGGTGGGTGCCATGGGAGGAACGGTTGTTGTCAAGGTCTGGAGGGTGGTGGCATGTCTGGCCTCATAAGAACAGACCTTAATCTCTTAGTCTGCTGATGGTGATTCTGTCTTCCTCTTGTGGAGGAGTTAGAAGTCAGAAGATGCCAACTCCCTGCCCCTTTAGCTTTCTTACATATAATTCATGTTTAATAGAAAATGTTCTGCAATGGAAGTAAAAATTAAACAATCGCCCTTGTAAAAAGGTTTATCAACACAAGCTAAAGTATCATACTGTAAACCAAATAAATGAAGAGAAAACCACAAAATCTGGTGTTTCTATCACTTTCCTAGGCTAAAATCATAGTATTAATTTAGAGATATAATTAACAATATTGTTTGAAGTGGTATCAATGAAACATCTTCTCCTATGTAAAACCTGAAATGTCATCTCAATTTAACTTACTTTTAAAATCTTAAAAATGTTTTATATTATCACAAAAAAAATTACAACTTTGGAAAATTTTATTTTTCAAAATTATTACCAATATTTCTGGTATAATACTAATAATCATTGTTTTTATTTCTATGGGTTATCTTAATTTGAGTAAAATAATTTGCATAAAGTACCATTCACAAATAAATGACACTTTCATTTGAGTAACAGGACGTAACATGAATTAGAAAAATATTAATCAGTATACTTACCCACCCACAAAGCAGAGGATATAAAATGCAAAATAAAATATTACAAAGGGTCCAAAGGTTACTAGGAAAAGGACAATGCCAAGGCTTCCCCATCCCCATATGGAAAGGCTGGCCTGAAATAAAGCAAAAAAATAAATAAATGTATATAAATAAAATATTCCCTAAATGGATTACACAGATAACCAAAACTTTCAAATATATTTTAAAAATCCTCCTTCTGAACATTTATGGTATTACAATGACTATTAAATATTTACTTCTGAAACTACTAAGTACACTCTTGTGGATTCATCTCCAAGAAGCAATATACACAACTTATCTATATAAAAAGATTTACAGAACAGCAGCAATGTTAAGAAAAAAACCTAGGCTCAACGCAAAAGTACAAGAAGAAGGAAACAGTTAACACAAATAGTTTAATAATATAGGCTGGCATGAGAAAGTTTAACAAAGTCATTATGAAAACATTTGCATATTACATATGTATATAAATATATATAAAAGATTAAACTACAAAGGAGTATTTATTTATAATTAATATTTACTTTTAAAACTAAGTTCAACTTAACAGTATAATGAGACATAAAAAAGCAAAATTTTCGAGGAAAGAAATCGACATTTCATTAAAATTATGATACTTCTGTTCAAAAACTCAAAATTATAATTGCAAATATTCCAACTTCCTGTTACCAAAATTTACTATAATATCAATTAACAGCTGCAAAAAGCCTCCATCCCTTAAAATAAATGAACAAATACCTATCTCTACACAATTTATACTGTTTTATCCAATAAAACAATTTCTGCTGTTGAAGGCAAATTGGATTTTAGCAATTTAAGACATTATGAATAGTTAAATGTATTCAATTCAACAAGTTACTACCATTTGCCTTGCACTGAGAGGTACACAAAGGAAGTATTTATCCCGCTCCTGCCCTCAAGGAACACAGAGAAGCATGTCTTATAGGAATGAAACAATTAGACACTGAACCAAAAGAAAATAACATAAAGCATTATAAGATACTAAAGTGAAAAAAGTTAATGACCAAAAAACTGTAAAATAGACAATAAGTGCTGTAATTTATGAGAAAACAGTTTTGTTTATTCATTCATTCACCAGTCATTGACTACTTCCTATGTGCTAAGCCCAGCTAGAGACAGAACAAGAAACAAAACAAGCCTTCTTATATATACCTTCATAAATTTACTTTCCAGAGGCCAAGAAAGGCAAGTAAGTTAAAGTTATATCATGTGAGTAAAAGTGTTCTGGAGAAAAATAAAGCAATTGCATAAGTTGATATAAGAAGCTCCCAGTGATTAGATGACATCTGATCAAAAAACCTGGACAAGATTTATTGAAGAATAATTTATTTATAGTATTTTCTTCCTACTCTAAAAGATCACCATTCATCTCTCAGTCTGTTGTACTGTGGTGACTTGCTTGTTACTGAAATGCTGGAAGCTAAGTCATCAATACTGCAAATACCAGTAGGATGACCTAACCCATGGTGGACAAGTTTCAGCAGAGTTTCTAGACTAAAACAGACTAGCAAAAAGGACCTGGCAGACTACTTCTAAAAAAATGTCCAGTGAAAACCTTATGAATAGCACAACATTATCTGATACAGAAGATAATCTCCTTAGGTTGGAAGGCACTACACAGTGATTGCAACAATGCACTCAAACGCAGCAAGGATTGAGAAGATGGCACAGAACCAGGCAGTGGTTCGCTCTGTTACACACAGAGTCACTATGCAACTCAATGGTACCTAAAAACACCATCACCACCACCAGACGAGTATTTTTCTATTTATTCATATCTCCGTTTAGGTACTCAGTGAACTTTACATTTTCTTTTCCATATAGTGCTCACACACTTGTTCATTTATATTTTTTATTTTATTTTTTTCCTTATTCTGGCCACTACCATCAACCTAAGGACTGAATGCCTACTGATGAAGTTCCTGCTCTGCGCTCATGTTCTCCTGCCTGAATCAGCCAAAGATACTATTTCACATCTAGAGAAGTAGTCCTCTTTGACTTACTTCAAAGAGCTGAAAGTAGAACATGGTGATTTAGAACAAAGTACAGAGCAGCCTCACTCCCTCTGACAATACTTCTGCTGAATATCCAGTACCTGATCCACAGTACAGTACTGCCAGATGCCCAACTATAGGAAATTGAAGCTGTTTCCCAAAAGTCATTCAAAACCTCATCCACTAACATCCCCAAAAGAATTCTTGTAAATTTTCAGCAAAGCTGAAACCAGGCTATAACCCAGATACTTTATTCAGACTTAAATGTAAAACCGAGAACTAAAAAGTTCATCAAAGAAAATAATGAGTAAACTCAGGGTCCCTAATGTATGGCATTAACAGACTACAACATGTAAGTAAAAATAAAAAATTATAAAAAGTACAAACAACAGAAGAAAAACTAGATGACTGGGAACTTCTAAAAATTAAATTCTTAGACACATTAAAAGACTCCTCCAAAAAGAAGGGCTGCTTATGCACAGGGAGACAGCTCAGGGGGCAAGAGTGCATGGAGGGATGGACAAAGGGAAGAGGTAACTATGGGGAGGAAGTGGGAGGGGAGCTATTGCATTGTGGTAAACTGTGGTCAATGTCATGAGACAGAGTATATGTGAACTGCTGTATGGAAAGTAAATTTGCTCTGTAAATCTTCACCCAAATCATAAGGAAAAAAAAAAAGACTCCTCCAAAAGAGTAAAAAAGTGAACTTATTGACTGGGAAAAAATATTTGGCAACAGTGTATCTGACAAGGGATTTATCTCTCAAATTAACAGAAAACTCCAACTCCTCAACATCAAAAAGACAATCAATCCAATTTAAAAAAAGGTCAGAAGACATGAAGAGACATTTTACCAAAGAAGACATTCAGGTGGCCAACAAACACATGAAGAAATGTACATAATCATTAGCCATTAGAGATGCCAATTCAAAACGAGATACCATCTCACCCCAGCACAAATAGCAAAGTTCCACAAGACAGAAAATAACAAATACTGGCAAGAACGTGGAAAGACAGGCACTCTCAAATACTGCTGGAAAATGGTATGGTGATTTTTTTAAAAATTGGAAACAGAAATATCATTTGATCCAGCAATCCCATTAAACCAAAAACCAAACTCACTGCCTCTAAGATGGATCCAACTAATAGTGACTCCTCCTCCTTGGGTTTCTGAGACAGTATCACTACAGAAGTAGATTACCCAATCCTTCTTCCGAGGAGTGGCTGGTAGGTTTGAACCACCAGCCCTCTGGTTAGCAGTCAAATGCTTTAGGCACTACACCACCAGAGCAATCCCATTACTAGGTATACATTCTAAAGGAGTGTGAGCCAGCCCACAAACAGACATATGCACACCCATGTTCACTGCTGCACTTTTCACAATAGCAAAGATATGGAAACAACCTAAGTGCCTGTGAGCAGAGGAATGGATAACCAAACTGTGGTACATACACACAACAAATACTATGGAACACTAAAGAATAATGTAGAGGACTTCTGGTAAGATGGAGGAATTGGGCAAATCACTCCAACATACAATCACCAATTAAACATAAATATAACAATGTCACAATGTCTCAGAGACAAAAGATCATCAAAGTCCATACAAAGAAGCAAGAGAAATAAGGGACTAGGATACAGACCCATCCCTGAGGAAGAAGCAGTATTGGAACTCCCTGATAAGGAATTCAAAATAATTTTATTTAGGTACCTTCAAAGGACTGAAAGACAGATCAAGGAAAACACTTATAAAATTAAGGAAAACACTTATAAAATTAAGGAAAATACAGACAAAACCCTAGAACAATTCTAGAAGAAAATACAAGACAAACTGACAAAATAAAGGAAAAATTACATGATACAAAATCTATACACAGAAATCCAGAAGATTAATACTAGATCTTCAGAAATGGATAACACACTGAAAAGGCAAAGAAGCAGAATCAAATCAATGGAAGACAGAATTAATGAGACTGAAGACAAATACCTCAATACTTCTTTGGAAAGGGATTAATCAGAAAAAAACATAGAAACATAATGAAGAAAGCCTAAGATTCACATAGGATGCCATCAAAAGAAATGACCTAATTGTAATCGCAATTCAAGAACAGGAAGAAATCAATAAAACCACAGAGAAAACTGTCTAAGATTTTTTGGAAAAGAATTTCCATGATATGATGAAAGACAAGAATATATGCATTCAGGAAGCCCAAGGAACCCCAAACAGGATAGACCCCAAAAGAAAATCACCCAGACATATCATCATCAAGCTCACCAAAACCAAAGACAAAGAATTCTGAAAGAAGCACGAGAAAAACAAAACGTTACCTACAAAGGGCAACCAATAAGATTAAGCTCAGATTTCTCAGCAGAAGCCATGCAGATGAGAAGACAATGGGATGGTATATATAAAACCCTGAAAAAGAAAATTTCCAACCAAGAATTATATACCCAGCAAAACTGTCCCTCAAATATGATGGTGAAATAAGGACATTTCCAGATAAGCAGAAATTAAGGGAATTTGTTAAAATCAGACCAAACCTACAAGAGATGCTAAACACAGCCCTTTGAAAAGAGAACCAATAACAGCAAACAACAACTGACCATTAACACACATGATGACATAACCCAGAAACCAACCCAGTTATGGAAGTATCCAAAGTAATACAAGCTTCCAAACCAAAAAAGCTTACAAGATTGTAAACAGGAAACCAGAGACCTCACTTAGAAAATGAGGACAACTAAAAAAACAAAAGAGGGAAAAAACAATGTAGTTACAGAACTTCTAAATGGTGAAAAAGTTAAGACAACTGCAAAATAAAATGGACTGTTCTAAACTCCGGGAGAAAATGATAAATCACAGGGTAACCTCAAAGAAAATTAATAAACTTTCTCAACAAAATAAAAAGAAAGAAAGTCACAAAATATTGGAAAATACTAAAACAATAGCAACAAAGGAAATGATAACATGGTTCATAAACAAAATGAGCTCAGCAGAGAAAATTATATGGAACAAAGAAATCAGTAATGCCATGAAAAAACACATAACAAAATGATAGCAACAAATTCATACTTGTC